CTTTCAATTATATATGGCCACAGTGTTAAGAAGGATGCGTTGAAATGAATCTGACTACAGGAATCTACGGCAGTAGAGATATTGCAGCAAAAGCCAACTCGAGTAACTTGTGAATAGGACGGATTGGGGTTTTGAAAATCTACAATGAACAAACCAATCCAAAAATTTGGAATGTTTGATTGAATATTTTTCACTATCTATCCCCAGTAGCCATTTCTCAGTGTCAATGTACCAACTTATCGCATATCCCACGTGTGATAATTGAAACAATACCCAAATGACAAGATGTTTAACTCCGACTTAATAATCTATTAGAAACTGCACGATATATGACATCCAAAACCCTGATCGGTATTTTAAAGCAAGTTATCTGTATTGAAAATGTAATATATTTGCACGGAGTGTTCGGGAAAAATAAAGATTATTTAGATTAAAAGGCAGAAACCGGGGGGCCATCTCAAGAGGCCAAATGATAAATACCAACACTGTTACGTTCGATTAAATTCGTTTCCAAATACATTTCGTTAATGAAAATGAAATTTGTTTAGGTTGGCTATCAGAAACAACAACCTACTTGCCTTTCACTGACAATGATTCTGCACCATATACGACTAATGCCCAGTTATATAACTATGAGTTGTGCTTTCAATAACATAAGAGGCAAGATGATTATAAATTAGGTAAAATATTTAATTTTACATTCCGATACATTGATGATTATTAACACGAAAATGAAATCCACCCCCCTGAACTAGTCGTGAATTACAAACAATACCTGTAGCACAACCGCCCTGCTTCTCATCTTATATCAATGTTGGAATTTGCGATTGTACAACAGATTCAAGTCACAGATACTTATATGTAACGGCAAAGAACTATTTCTTTCTAGAGATCACTTCTTATCATTTAATCATTTTTTGTTCAATAAATAGAGAGAGAGAGAGAGAGAGAGAGAGAGAGAGGTGGGGTTTAACGTCCACTCGACACTAGTTTAATTTTATTTCAATAATTCGCCGGCGCGTAGGGGTCTACATACAATGTATGTGCTTTTCCGCGCATTTGTCTTTAGTTTTTGTTTATTACGATGGTATGTACGGTGCGATTCCCTGCACACACTACTAAATTTAGCTATGCATTTTGGTAGATCGAATATGTCAAAATGGGAGAAAGCGTAGTCAGTGTGTCTTAAGTAATGACCAAATTACCGCCATATTGGACTTGACGATCGAATTAAGGCATAACGTGTAATATTAATCTTGTCCATCGTTTACGGTATCTTCCGATGGATGTCGAACACTCCTGTACGGTATACCTATGAGATCTAAAGCCTATTACCAAGCCAGAATTTATGGACAATACCATCTTTCGGAAGTAATCGACAATTTCCGTAACCCCAGCGTACCAGAATAATCTCGATGTTTCAATTGAGACTGACCACCTACTGATAAACTGCCATAACCTGTCTATGTTATAAGATATATATCTTTATTAATAGATAAACCACTGATATTAACCTGTCTCAAGTCTGAAAGTTTTAATATAGATAATTGGTAAGAGGAAGGGCGTTAGACGACTGAATGACAGCACAAACAACTAGTTTGTAGTCATAAACTCAACACAAATGACCAAGTGTCAGTTTGATAGACTATATTTATTTATGTTTGATAGTAGACTAATTACTATTGATGTCAAGCAGAAAAATGTCATTTACAAACCTGTCACTTCCAAGACGAAGTAAATTTGAGATTTAAATCACTTAAAGCAACGACCGCTTGACAGAAAAGTCTTCGAGGCAAATAACAGACCACACTTTATTAAGTATCAATAACAATCATCAACATATAGACTCATTTTTGCATCTATGACAAACACACAAATTGTTACAACTAAATGTCTAGTTCAACTTTACACCCGGCAGAAAGGTAAATCAAATTTCAATGTCCCTAAACTGAGTCGAATTTGGAATATCTAAACGGTCCACAAATCCACTGCGGTGGGTTTGTGTTTATACGGCCTTGGCATCGACACCGTCGTACAAATATCTACTGTAATAACATAAAATGATATTTACAGGGTTTGGGTTTGTTTGGGGTTTTTTTTGGTGGGGGGAGGGGGATTTTTCCCCTCAAGGATGTCTAAATCAACTGGTGGTCATTTTAAATATACAGGAAGTCGATGGAACTGAATATAAAACTGATCAGAAGAATGTAGGTTTCCCCCAAGAATCCAGCGGATATAAAATGAAATGAAATAGAGTTTTACGTCCTACTTTTATGCACCCACCGACTAGGCTATTGAAGACGGGCAAACGTTATGCAGTGTGTTATGAGGGAAATTTCGCCCGGACAGCGGCGCTATGGCCTACTGTTATATCCAACTGCAACTGTCAAGGGTTCCTTTACGTGCACGCCGGTGTGTACACGGGATCTCGGTTTTCGTAACATCCGAACGGCTAAAAACTGTATCACTGACAAGGGGAAACCGTACCGGAAAGATTTAATCCCCACGAACATTCTCGGGAGCGAACCCCAGAACTAGTCAGCAAGACAGCGTCTTAACCACTGAGCCACCAGATTCCACCGACTATATTGTGTGCTGTGAGAAGATATGAATCTTTAACAGCTTCCATGCCTTCAATGACAGCAATTATTCAAGTAGGATTAATCGCTGTTCCTGGAAATGGCCGATCTGCTTAAATGACGTCTTTTGTAGACATATCCAAATCTATACCATTCTTTTCTGTCATTTATCTCAGATCTTTCTTAGTTTTAATACCGTATCAGACGTAACAAGTGGGTATTATAATAATACACAACAGAAATAGAGTTGTTAGCTAGATTATCTCTATATTGTCCTCAATTTGTTACGACAAAATCATTATGTTTTATGATCTCAACTACCTAATTCCCTAATAAGACTAGTGCAACGTCATAGTTACGTTATAAGAGTTCAACTCCGCAATAACGTTACTTAACAACTGATGAAATAAACCTTTTATTCAAATTAAGTAGGACGGCTTGTTAACAGCGATAATTTTAAAAACCGTATTTATTTGGACCCTGAAATGGACGTACGACATCGCCGTCCCTTCTACTTTCATCCTACTGCCAAAGCCATTTAGGTGTTAAATGCCCGGTTAGTACGTGCTTTTCTAAAGACATGTGTGTACAAGATAATTATTGAAATAAAAATATACCGTATCTTAGTTCCAAAAGGACCACGTTATTGCGGAGTGGTTGTTAACACATTCTCTTTACCCAGTGACTTTCTTTCGTTTCCCCTTTAGAACATTGCACGTCGCGTGTTCGTCTTCATTTTCCAGGTTGATGCAAAAAGACGAAACGTTAAACCTAATTTTATTTCTATTTCTGTTTCTCCAGATATTGTTACCTTTTGATGAGATTGAGAGTTGACAGGTCGTTCGTGATATGTTGAATATTTTTAGAAATACTGGATAATGTTAAAAACAAAGACGTCATTGAGAAAGATTATCTGGTCTAAAGAAAGGAGGATCTTTATTTTTAAATAGATGACATGTATTGCCCAATCAATCCTGCTGACGTAATTTACAAAGTTAAACAAGATACAAGAATTTGTTTTCTGATACTTCATACGAGAAACTATCTAAGCATACAGCTTTAATTGACAATCTGACTTAAGATCATGAATTTTGGGGGTTTTTTTTCAAGTCACAGAGGCTCAGTAAGTATCTGTATGTCAACGTACTCGTTGGTGTGTACGTAAAAGAACCCTTCTGTTAGATTTCGATTAAGAGTGGGCGGAAACGCACATCACACTCCAGATATACCGTATGTCTGTGGTCATTTGGCCGATTGGCTCAGAAAAATAGGACATTAAACTCCATTTTCATTCGATATGTGTTCACAATGAATGCTCGTCCACTCAAATCATTTAGAGACTAACATGTGGTATAATTTTATTTCTACAATCCCGGGCGCGCGTGGATATTTAATAGTGGGAGGGAACCGGGATACGCAGATAAAACCCACTAGAGACAGTTTACGCTACTGCTTGTCACAGACAAACTTGGATTCTACGCTTTACGTTCATAGATAAAGATAAACTTATGATATGGCAGATAGATATCCTGATAAATAATAAAAGATTAATTCCAAACATACTAATATAGATATTATACAGAATGGTATAGTAGAAAACGACGTGAAATGGTACAATACAAGTTAAGCTGTGAAATGATCTGATACTTATCAATGCCGGTTTAATCCAAAATACACTAAATATATATTATACCAAAATGGTGTAATAAATTGTAAAAAAAAAAAAAAAAAAAAAAAAAAGACGTAATGGTACAACAAAAGTCAAACGCAATCGATACGATTCCAAATGGAATGATGCCTACCACTGCGGTTGTTATCCAGAAATAGTGAAGCATTTCCTAATTAATCTTTTTTAATTAAGATGTATGTGATGTCGGGACTTTTTGGAGGGATTGAAAGTTGCTAATCTCTTTGATGTAAGCCGTTTCCTTGATCTGTTCCTAGAACTGTCTGGAGCAGTGATAAATTCACAGACGAGATGGGGTTTCTACTCGGTATTTGCGTGTTCAATATGAATTGTTCATTCCGACGTTTCGGCCACCGAGGCTTTAAACCCTAGCCCGCAAGTCCCCAAGCACCAGTCAGCGTCTATTTAATCACCTTAACATCTCTGGCGGAAACCTTTTTAACCGTAACGTCGGTTTAGCACATGAAAAATGCTATGTCAAATTTCCATATTAAACTTACACTATGTGCAGAATGATCAAATTATTTGATTTAATGAGCTGAATGTTATTATGTTAATTCATAATGCCGATTACAGATAATTTCGGAAATTTTGTTCCGTTTTTGTTGCGCATGCAACAATTGTATTTTTAACAAATAATTAACTGATAAGCGGTGGTCGTAATCAGTGTACATCGTACCAATGGATGTCTGGCAAACGCGTGGTTTGTTAAAAACCTAGGCTTAATCATTTACCTGTTTGAGGAACGGTTTCAGTTGGAGCAGTTTTTCCTTTACGACTGGATTTCCCGCGTTTCTTCCGCCATCTTGAAATCCAAGATTTGTCCGATTTCTGGTTTTGGTCGGACATAAGGGACGTTGTCTCTCCTTGTGGAGTCGAAGGCAGTTTATCATATTTGGCGCCGAAACGTCTGCTTCTGCTTTTACTGATCGGGAACACAACCATTGCATGCATAGTTATTTTTATGGAATGTTGGAAATCTCAAAACCTGAAAAAGACAAATAAAATCATAATACACCCTTATAGAACCAGTTGAAAACGTACGAAGTCTTCGTTATTGTGTGTGATAGAATGATCATATTAATCAGATCTTCGGCTTGGCCGGGCAATATAAACAGATACATACATAAAACATTAATTATGTGATAGGGATAACATAATAATAAGCCACGCCTTCGAAATCTACAAAAACGGTTGACTGGAATGACGAATTTGCCGGGATTGATATAACGCAGGTCTTCGAGATAGCCAACTACGTGAACAAAGGTATTACTTGCTTTGTCCTTATATAGTCTATGATTTCATATCTATACCATATGTTGTGTGCTATAGTACGGTATATTTTAAAGAGAGTTACCTACTGTGTTGTACTTTAATAAAAAGAAAAAAACACATTAGCAGTCCGTTTCTTTTTATTCAGAAATGTGCACTACATGACTACTAGACTCATGAGAGAATATTTATCTGTTTATTCGTGTTTTAAGAAGCAGATGATTAAATTTTGAGAAGTGCATTTTACATGTTTGTTATGGCGTTACATGTTGTTAGTTTAATGCTGAATTACACATAAACATGTCAAGGTGCTTAAAGTAAGAGACAAAAACCTCAAACAGATACAGTATCAATCATTAAAGATATTTAACATATGGGATTAGCTGTTCTAGAACATGCGTAAAGAGTACTACAAAAGGAATGACGGTGGCTTTCATCTTTTATAGAAATAAAAAAAGGGGCTTAACATCTTACTATTCTGAACCAGAAGGTTTAAAGACGACAAGAAATTAAAAGACATCGCAGTAAACAACTCTGCATTAATGTCATATCTTGCTAAAAGCATCTTATGATATAAAACATTCTTTCTGCGAAGGAAAATATGATGAAACAATCCAGAAAGCACTGATTGTCTGCAGATACACATTATTTCCTTACGCCTTATAATTTACTATAGCAAAGACGACGCTTTGTGATATACCATATGCATATAGTTATCTCTTGCCGACTCACTGCTTTAAAACACAATTGAAAGTCAAATAGCATCTATTTTGATTATCTCGGCACATGAATTACCATGCACGTTTTAAAAGAAAGTAACTGAAATGGTGTTCAACGCCCTACCGTTCCGTACCAGCCGGGATAGAAATGAAATGAAACGGGGTTTAACGTCCTACTGTTCTGCTCCGAACTGGGCTAATGAAGACGGGCATACGCCATACAGTGTGCTATGAGGGAAATTTTGTCCGGACAGCGGGATCTTTTACGTGCACGCCAATGTGTACATGGGACCTCGGTTTTTCGTCCCCTCCGAACGACTAGACAGTTGTCCTTGTCAGGCCCTCCGCCCTGCATCCCTGACAAGGGGGAATCACGCCGGAACCAGCCAGGATAATGAACACGGGCAATTCGTTAAGAAGGATAGTGTGCTATGTCGCCCGGGCAGTGGCCATTCCGCCTACGCTTCTTCGAATTTCAACTGCCAGGGTTCCTTTACGTGCACACGGGAACTCGACTTTAGTCGCATTCGAATGACTAGACGCGTCTCATTCAGGAACATAAATGACATCGGTACTCGCATCTATTGAAACTACGATTTTCAAGTTCTAAATGTTCTGATCCACACATTAGAGACATTATGTGGGAGCTAAATTTGAATATTGCAGAGTATTTTCCTAGCTACAAATCAAATATAAATTATTTAGACATTTATTCAACTCTACTGATCATCGAATAGCTTGGGTATTGAGTGGATTGGACAACGCCATTATCTGCGTTAAGCGTTTGTATGACCTGCAAAGCCAAAATCTTTGGAATGTTGCATGACCCAATGAGACTGTCGACAAAAGGCCTGATTATAGTGTTACACAAAGTATTCATAAGTAACTCCGAAGCAAGAAGTCCGGCCCTTTCTTTAAATCTAACATAACGTATCTTTAAGTAAGTCTTTTTAATACCCCCTAGTACTCTATATTGACGTTTCGTATACTTCACTAAATCCAGAAATTATTTGCATTTCTCGATAGTTTGTCGTTTTCATCACTTCCTGTCCTAGACAGAAAATATCATGTCGTCCAAGCACGGCACAGACATCTTATCTGTTATACGGCTCTAGGCAGTGACTGAGTGTTTAGGACAAGTCGTAAATTAAATTGCCTACTTGTTAAAGACTGGTTAATTCGCCTCCAGGCGAAAAAGAATAGGTTAACACGATTCCTGGTAATCAAGCCACTAAACTGTTTATTCTAGAGAATAATAACGTCCAGACACACTCAAGGCAATGTAGTTATACTTTTTTTCTCAAATGGAACAATTTTACCTCAGACATTAATGAGTTGTAAGAAGACTGGCAGCTTACCTGACCAACGAATGATACACCCGATTCGATCTACAGAACGTACACGAATAACCTTTCTGTATCACAACTAATACATGCTGAATCTCACAGTACAAATTACGCTACGTAGCAATAGCCTCTAGAGTAATGAAACTTTTGACAATTGGCTCTCCATTTATGTTGATGTATTCCAGTTATTCAAACGATATACAAAGTGTTCAAAAGAAATTTCCCCAGGATTTATGATCGAGTGTCAAATAAAAGCAACTTTTCTTTTCATTAATACAAGTCTGCAGAATCGTTTTTTCATTAATAGGTGATTAATTAATAAGCATGGATTTATCATTTGTCAAAACTTATTCAGACTCTTGATTAAAAAATGATTTTCGCTGTGGGAAGCATTTTGTAGAATTGACTCAGAACAATATGAAGCAATACGTTTTGAAGTCACCGATCCTCCAACAGTCTATATGCTAGCTGCTGTATCGATCCCCTCTTCTTATAGACTAGAAATCATTTCCGTCCAAACATAACAAATCCATTACACAAGAAATTGCGCATTCGGGCATGCGGAAGAAAATAACACAAAACAGGCGACTGGATTTTACCACCTAAAAAAAATCAGTTCCGACAATAATCTTAATTTATATGTTCTGTTACATGAGAGAACGGAAATGGTACCTTTAGAAATTTCGGGCCAATTAATGGATGATAAATTGGTTGTATTTAAGAACTAGGATATGCAACATTTATTCTCAAGACGTAATTGAACGATAATGTTCCTTTTTTATACAAAACATTTCTAAAACGATCTGTGTTATGCACAAGCGGAATGATTATGATACAACTCAACACGGTGCTACGATTTTATAGATTGTTCGTAAAATACAAGACTACATGGAATTATGCTGCTGGCAAACACGGTGCAATGATTTCGTAGATAATCGGATATTTAGGCAGCAATTATTACATGACTGAACACGGTAATTATCAAATTATTGAACACAGTAATTATTACATGACTGAAAACGGTACAATAAGGCTTTATTATTACATTACTGAAAACCGTAAAATAAGGCTTTAATTGTTACATTACTCAACACGGTGAAGTAAAGGTTTAATTATTATATATTATTAAACACAGTAAAATAAGGCTTTAATCATTACATTACCGAACACGATAAAATAAGGTTTAATTATTACATAATTGAACACAGTAAAATAAGGCTTTAATCATTACAATACCGAACACGATAAGATAAGGTTTAATTATTACATAATTGAACACAGTAAAATAAGGCTTTAATCATTACATTACTGAACACGATAAAATAAGGTTTAATTATTACACAATTGAACACAGTAAAATAAGGCTTTAATCATTACATTTCTGAACACGATAAAATAAGGTTTAATTATTACACAATTGAACACAGTAAAATAAGGCTTTAATCATTACATTTCTGAACACGATAAAATAAGGTTGAATTATTACATAATTGAACACAGTAAAATAAGGCTTTAATCATTACATTACTGAACACGATAAAATAATGCTTTATGTATTACATTGCTGAACAAGGTAAAGCAAGGCATTAATTAATACATTACTGAACACGCTAAAATAAGGATTAAATTATTACAATATTCAACACAGTAAAATTAGGCTTTATATCATTACATTACTGAACACAATAAAATAAGGCTTAATTATTATTACATTACTGAACACGGTAAAATAATGCTGTACGATATATGCCCTCATAGCAGACAACATTATGTATTCTAGTCTTTATTAGTCCTATTTAATTTCATTCGACATCAACTAAAATATATAATTTTAGAAGCCATACTCCAAACTTAAACAGAAATGAATTAACTAAAATTCCTTATTAATAATATTAAACGCCAATTTGTTTAAGCATCACGACGCTAACCTTATCAAATGTTAAAACAAACCGAAAATACATTTTAATACTTTTCCACATAAATATGACTATTTGGTAATACCTTGCATATTTATCCATGCGTATTTAAATTCTCAGACAATTTGACATTTCTTGATGTCAGAGAATTGAAACGAGGGAAAGAATAAAAAATGGCTTGGAATATATAAGAGATCACTAGGAATATTATGATAGAATCTGATGTAGCGCTTATTGATGCATTTCGAAATGAAATTAAATACGCTCGTAGGATTCCATTTTGATACGTTTTCCAACCCATAAAATAAATGGTTAGGTTTATATTACCACATAACCATTTCTTTAATGAAATAACCATGAATAAGTAATCGAAGTCCACCGTGAGATTTTATCCAAATTAATTATCGTTTTGTCATCTATGAAATTGAATAAAATGGAATTAAAATAAAAAGATCATCTTTCACGTTATTGAATTAAAACTGTCAAGATTGAATTATAGACATATATAAAAACTTTCAATCTCCCTGTTTTGTTTAGTCCTTTATTTCGTCGGAATCTCGGTGGGTATGGCATTCAATATCGACCGAGAAAGGTCCTCAGAATTTTCCAGCCTGGTTGAAAGCAAGAATATTGTTTTCCGTATATAGGTACAAATGATTTTGACCACTTATCAGTAGTTAAGTAATATATTGTATATTAATCCACAACAAGGAAGTTCTCTGTATTTCACACTAA